AGCAGGCTCAGGCTTCAAAGCTGTTCCACCAGAAGAAGATCACAAAGCCCAGAGCAATGCACAAGTACCCCCAGGGCTTCCTCTGTGTCACTCTTCAAAACTACTGCTCTGTGTGCATCCTACACACACGCTCTCAGAGATTACAGTGCTCCCTCCTCCAGCACTGACCAGTTTCACCCAACCAGGGCTGGCACTCCACTGCCCTGGCTTCATCCTGCACCTGAGCATCTTCTATAGTTCTCTTGGCCAGCTTTGGGGGCAGGAGGTCTGTTTGCTGTGCTGGGATTCTCGCTGGGACCTCCAAAACTGCGTATCTGGATGTACAGGCTCCAAGTGAGTTTTCTTTGCTGGGAGACCAGGCTCCATGACTCCTCACTACCAGGCACATCACACACACATATTCTTGGGCTCTTATTATCTATTTCCTTGGCTTCCTCAAGAGCCCAGATAATAAAACCAACACCAGAACTCACCAACCCTTAACTGTTTGATAACCCAAAGGCTCAACAACCTCCACAGACAGTTATTGTCCTGGAGACCGCAAACTGCCACTGTGTTCGACCACGTTCCTTCCCAGCTGACAGCTGCTTTGCAATCCCTTGCATGCCAAAGCCGCTGTGATGCCTTGGCCCTGCTGCACAGACCATGACAGCTCCAGTTACACACGCTGCTGCCAAGCAAAGCATCCCTCAGGGCTGGACCTTTTCTCTTGCTCTAAAGGTTTGATCTGAAGCTCATCTCCTCTGTCAGGAAGCAGCTTTTGAGGAGACATAAAATGCAAATAGAGGGGGAAAAAAAAAAAAGGAAAAAAAAGAATTTTCCACACCTCCGCTTGCTCATGTCCAGCTTTCAGCCTGGGAATCCTCTCCCTTTTCCTTTTCCCTAATAAACTGCCTGAGTTTCTTCAGCAGAGGGAGCTCAAGCTTTTTATTCCTCCCCTTCCATCTTTGCCAAGGATCATGGAATCCCAGCCTGGTTTGGGTTGGAAGGGACCTCACAGCTCCTCCAGCTCCAACCCCTGCCACCGGCATTGACCCCTTCCACTGGAGCAGCTTCCTCCAAGCCCCTGTGTCCAACCTGGCCTTGAGCACTGCCAGGGATGGGGCAGCCACAGCTTCTCTGGGCACCCTGTGCCAGCGCCTCAGCACCCTCACAGGGAAGAGCTTCTGCCTTATCTCCAACCTGAACTTCCCCTGTTTCAGTCTGAACCCGTCACCCCTTGTCCTGTCACTGCAGTCCCTGATAAACCAGACGAGCCTGGGAGCCTGTTCCTGCTCTCTGGGCAGCAGCTCCCATCCTTACCTGGGCAGCCCCATCCACCACCAGCTCAAAGGCTGCTCCCCCCTTGCCGAAGCACAGGACATCGCCCGGGCTCACTCTCACTGCTGCATTTTGGACCTGGCAGCCGTTGATGAAGGTGCCATGGGGGGAGTTGAGGTCCTGAAGGCAGAAACTGTTGTCCGAGGCAGTGAATTCCAGGGCTGCGTGATGCTGGGCTACACCTGCAGACTGGCAACCAAGAGGCAAGCAAGAGAAACCTGATGGAATGCAGCTCTGCTCTGGCTACTCATTTGCAATGTCCCCTCTTCTTGCTGGATACCCAGCACAGGCAGGCTGGAAGCCCTTATGCTTTGCACTGGTGACCACAGTGCAGAGAATCATAGAATGGTTTGGGTTGGAAAGGACTTTAAATCACCCAGTTCCAGCCCCTGCCATGGGCATCCTGCTCCCCGCTTCCAAATCCCCACTCATTTACACCACTCGGCTTCCTTGCCCCTACCTGCAGGACGATGTCGGACCCTTCGTGCCGGCCGATGGTTGTGGTGTGTGCTTTCAGCTGAAAACAGCCCTCTGAGCTCCTTAGGAAGGCTCTCATCATCCAGCCCCTTCACCTTGCACTCAAAACAACTCCTCCTTCAGCAATCCCCATCCAACACACGCAGCTGAGCACAGAACCCCTTCCCCAAGTCACACACTAGAAATCACACAAAATCAACCCAAAGGCAGCCCTGCTCCAAGCTGCCCAGAGCCTCGCAGTAGCCTTGGAAACCTCGGCCCCGCGGAGCTGCTGCTTCCTGCCTGTGTTTGCTCTTTGTTTTGCTTGAGCTGGTTTTTTCCTCCTCCTTTGCCCAAGCAACTGACCCAGCAGCACAACACAGCCCTGCGCCGGCGTTCCCTGCCGGCCTGTGACACACATGGGAATGGATGTTCCCATGCATCACACAGCTCCCAGGGCTGCGCAGCCTGACAGGACATTGCTGTTCCTCCTCCCCGCTTTTATTTAGGAGTTATTAATTGCCAGGGTGGACACAGGGGCTTGGAGCACCCTGCTCTAGTGAGAGGGGTCCCTGCCCGTGGTACGGGGCTGCAACTGGATGAGCTTTCAGGTCCCTTCCAACACAAACCGGTCTATGGTTCTTGTGCACGCATACACAAGCAGGGCTTGGAATAAAGGAGAGCTGCACACAGAACACATGCAGGAGAACAGGTAGTGAGTCCTGGAAGATTTTACCATGCTTCATTTTGAGGCAGAAGCAGCAGGTTTCACACAGAACTCTGCAAACTCTACTTGAGCACATGCCTCAATGTTGGCTTCCACTACCAGCATTTCCATCCCTTAATCTCCTTCCAAGTGCTTTCCCTTCAATAGAGCAGCTGAGGTTTTCTAGCCCCAGTCCACCTGCAGCAGAACACTATGTGTTTCCTCAGTTGCATTAATACCAGGTCCTGTGGGTTGACATGGAAAACAAGTTACCCTCCAGAGATACTGCTCCAAGATCTACGGGCAACCTTACACACCACACGGGGAAGCACCGACCATACCAGCATGGGTCGTTGAGAGCACTCGCACTTCCCAGCATCCCACATCTCCCTCTGCTTTCCAAATCCCATTGAAGGACGAGTATGCAAGAGGCAGGAGATGCTCATTAGCTATTTGGGCAGTTTTGGCATAATGACTGCATTAGTCACAGCCTGTTTCACTGCAGTCACTGTACTTGACACCAGTTTTCCAGCTCTTTTCCTACACGAGACGCTGGGAAAGATGCTGCTTGTGCCACTCAGTTTCATTCAACAGGACATTCTGGAAAAGAAGCTCGACGAAACCAATGACTCAGACAAGAAGCTTCATTTTATGAACCCAGATTTCCCAAGAGAACTCTTAGGGTTGCATTTCTTCACCAGGGAAAGAGGACCTCGTGCCTTGCCTCCCACCAGAGACAGGATCTTAGGGGCACATGTGCCTGGGAGACAGCTTCCAAGGACCTGCACCACCTCTGCAACCTTTCAACAAGAACAACATGGGAATCCCCCAGATCTCAAATCCCAGACTGCTTTGAGTTGGAAGGGACCTTAAAGCTCACCCAGCTCCAACCCCCTGACATGGGCAGGGACATTCTTCCACTCCCTGAAGCCAGGTTACATTCTGCTACTGATTTCCTTCCCTTTAGTACAGAAGCCCCTTGGTCAACGATGTTATTGTGCCCATCTGAGATCATGCCTTGGGGCACAGGAAAGTGAAAATCCTGCTACATGACAACAGAAATGAAGAGATGCAACGTGAAAGAACAGCTCATGAGAGAAACTGCCAGATGGGTTTGGGCCACCATTTCCCCTTTATCTTCATTCTGGTCAACCACACTGCCAAGTCAAGCTCTGCTCTACAATCTAACTACATCAACATCAGCATCACCCCAGCAAAGCCACATGGTACCAGCAGCAAGAGGCAGAGGGCAGACTGGCTACACCAACACCAGCTAAACATCCGTGGGAGATCCTGCTTTCCACCCACACCATCAACATTCAGACCATATGAGGGAACCCTTGGCTGAACACGATGACTTTGTCATGGATCGCTTTGCTGGAAGCCTGGGATGCAGCACATGGCCGGGATACCCATGGAGCAGGATCCACTCTGAAACGCTGTGCACCACTTGCAAAGCCTGGAGAGGGCCACAGCCACGCATGAGAGTGTAACACACACAGACACAAGGTACAAAGTGTTTATTTAGAGCAGGTCTGCTCAGGATGCTCAGCAGTCACTGCACCCCGCAATGCACCTCCTGGCAGCCGCGCACCAGCTCCCACCCCCCTGGGTCCATCCTCCAAACACCCCTTTGCATCAGAACACAAAACACAACAGAGAAAACAAGCAAGGCAAGAAATCCACCCCTTCCCGAGGAGCACAGGGCCTGTTTCTGAGCTCCCACCAACAATCCCAGACCTTGGCAGGAGTTTGGGCTGGCTCCGGGCCACCATCCCAGCCCCAGCCTGGAGGAAGCTGCAGCAACTCTGGCAACGCGGGTACCCTCACTCAGACAGAAAAGACGCCAAAAAAGAAGAAAAACAGAAAGAACATTTTCCTTTTCCACTTGGATAATCCTTGTTCAATATCAGTTTGGTGACTTGGAAACGTCTTGGTGGGTGTAAGGAGAAAAGGAGGTGAAAAGGTACATCATAGAACGGTTTGGGTTGAAGGGACCTTCAAAGCACATCCAGTCCAACCCCCTGCAATGAGCAGGGGCATCTTCATCTAGATCAGATTGCCCAGAACCACATCCAGCCTGGCCTGGAATGTCTCCAGGGATGGGGCATCCAGCACCTCTCTGGGCAACCTGTGCCAGTGCTTCACCACCCTCAGTGTAAAGGGTTTCTTCCTCACATCCAGCCTCAATCTCCCTCTTGTAGTTTAAACCCATCACCCCTCATCCTATCACAACACACCCTGCTAAAAAGTCTCTTCTCATGTTTCTCACAGGCCCCTTTTAAGAAGTGAAAAGCTGCAATAAAGTCTCCTGGAGTCTTCTCCAGCTGAACAATCCCAACTCTCTCAGCCACTCCTCACAGCAGAGGTGCTCCAGCCCTCAGATCATTTCTGTGCTCTCCTCTAGACCCTCTCCACCAGGTCCGTGTCTTCCGTGTACTGAGGAATCCAGAGTGGAACCACACTGGGTGCTCCTTACGTCAAAACACCACAAATGACACTTTTGGTACTTGCAGCAGACTCACTGGCATCCAGGTCTCTCTCCCCACAGTCTTCTGTAACGAGGGAAAACTCACCCTGCCCCTGTGCTGCAGCACTATGCACCTATTGCATTCTCCACACTGCAGGTTTCAGGAAGCCCTGACCACTTGTGCACCCACAGACCAAGCCCCTCTTAGTGTGGTTGTTTTAAAACCCCCCAAATCCCCCAAATCCCAGCTGCATCACAGGTTCCAGCTTTTTTGGTGAGGGTTTAAGTCATTTGCTGGCTCCCTGGCACCTTCTCTTGGATGTCCTCGTACTTGGGCGGGGGGGTGAGCGGCTCTATCGTGACAGGGGCAGTGCTGTTCCCCTGTGCCAGGTTTAACCTGATGTCCTTCAGGTGCAGCTTCTCTGACTTGATCCTGCGCACCTTGAGTGGCTTCAGGCGCTTGCTGAGGCGGGAGCTGTGGCGCCCGGGCGGCTGCTCCGTGCCCGGCTCCGTGCTCGCGGCGCTGGGGGCTGCGGTGCTGTCATCCAGCCCCGTCAGTGACTCGTAGGAGGGCAGGGAGACGCTGATCCTGGTGCTCCTGTCCAAGTCTCTGGGCTCAGAGTAGCCCGTGTTCATCACCTCCTCGTAGCTGGGGACATAGTACTGGGAGGATGTGTCGTCATCCTCTTCTTGGCTAGATGGGAAGAAATTAGGCTGTCAGCAGCACATCAGCTTTGTGTGGAGACAGGCTGGAGAGGATAAAACCCCCTCTGCAGACCCTTAACAAATTGTTTTCCTGTCTATGTTATATAGAATCCCAGCCTGGTTTGCGTTGGAAGGGACCTTAAAGCTCATCCAGTTCAGCCCTCACAGCATCTCTGTGGCCTCCTCTGGTGAGTTCCTTTTTGTTTGACAGAACAGATCATAACCCCACCTACATTCAGACAGGTTTTTATTTCCTCGTGACATACACCAATATTTGGTCATCACTTCCTTTACCCTTAAAACCTTTTTTTCTATTGCACAGCAGTGATTTCTGCCCCTGGCAGAACACTGATTTCTCTCCTCCCCTTCTCAAAACTCAAACTGCATTTGAAAGGGACATCACCCTCTGTCTTTCCCATTCCAATGCCTTTTGAGCTAGACAGCTACCTTTTCCGCAGACAAATTCAGCTCTGCAAGACTTTAACCCCTATGCCAAAAGCACCTGCACACAGCCTGCACAGGTAAGATATCTTTTGCAGCCTGAAGTTACCTTTACAATCCAATAGGGATACCCAGTTTTCTGGGAGTTTTTTCTGGGTTTTCTTACTTGCATGAGGAAAATTCTCTGTAGTCACAGATCTGGAAAACGCTTTCCCCCAAAGCATTCCCTGTGCAGCAGCCATCATCTCCTTCTGTCTCCTCACACCCTGTGTTTCCCATTGCCCTCCTGCTTCTCTCTGCTCGGCCACAGCTTGCACCAGGGACTGTGCTGATTCCCTGCATAGCCGAGATGGATGGGGACTTCTGCACCCTGTGTTTGCTCAGCCTGTGCCTGCTGCAGCAGCCTTTGCTCTACTCACTGGAGCTCCCTGAGCAAAGAGGAGAGCCCTACAGGCTTTCACGAGGTCTAAACTCCATTCCCAGCCATGGCTGAAAGGCTCCTTGGCACCTCTGGCTGCACCTAATAAGACACAACCCGTTCTCCATCCATGCCCTGCTCCTCTCCACCACCATCACTGGCCCAGCTGGCCAGGCTTGCAGCACCAGGCTGCTCTCCTGCGTTAACCATTAACCAGTGCCGGCAGCATTCCCCCTCAGCACAATGCCTGTGCAGTGACAAAGGCAGGAGTGGCACGTCTCGGCATGGCTGGCTGGGCCACGGCTCCATCCAGACCCCAGCCTCCGCACAAACAAGGCTCCCTTTCACCTACAGCAGCATGTGTACCGCTGGAGTCATTCCTTGCTCATGCCCACAGGTTTGAACCCCAAACCATGACACATGCTCTCTTATTGCAGCCCTCCCAGCCTTACACTCCTTGCTCCAGACCTCCTTAGGGAAGAATAGCAGCCCTTGGCTTCATTCCTATGCTCGGCCCCACTCCCTAAAGGCTTACCTGTCCTCCTGGTGTGAGGGCTCCACAGACACTTGGTGCTGCACACGAACAATGTCCTCGCTCTGCCTCTTCTTGTCGCGGATGTTGAGGCAGATGGAGAGCAGCAGCAGCAGCACACCCGCCCCTACCAACACATATGCCACCGAGAAGGTCTTGCTCTTCAGAATGCCTCCGTTGCCACGGTCGGGCTTGCTGCTGTTCCCAGCATGGGTGGTTGGTTTGTTGTCGGGGCCAAAGCCAGGGACCAGGTTCCACACAGCCATGATGATGCCGAGGACGAGCATCCCCAGCCCTATCGCTGTCAGGGCATAGTGCGAGCCATTGGTACGAGACTGGGCCATTGCTCTCACTGCTGGCTGGTGTCCCCACCTTACAGCATGGCTCAGGGCTGGGAGGCTGCAGTCCTGCTAGCAGGCATGTGGTCCCCTCCCCAGGCCGGCGGTGAGCTCTGGGGAGAGATGGGAAGCAATGGTTAGCACATAGTGTGGAACAAAGGCTATCATTGCAGTGGCTGTGATAACATCGTCTTATGCAGCTGATGCTGAAGTCTTGTATCAGTGTGCCTGTGGGGAGCGTGTCAGGACATAGCAGGGCAGCAAGATCCTTGCCCACCACTCTCATTGCGACCATTTGCTGCCTTCTTGGCTGTAATACCCCCAAGCTTAGAAAGGAACCTGATCACTACCATGTGCTAAGAATGCCGACTGGCCATCCTTAGGAGTGTTATAACCAACCTCTTCCCAGCACCAGGAAGAATGCCACCAAAACAACTTCCCCACTCTCTGGAGCTGCACTGCCCCAGGCAAGCAGTGGCTATCACTGCACATTAACCTGGCAATGCTCAGGAACAAATTCAATCTGCACAGCTCCTCCTTTAGCCCTGGTGCAGAGGGAGCGGGGCTCCCTGCAGCGCTGGCTGCCTGCCCTGCACCGCCTCTCCCGGCATGGAGAAGAGAAAGCAAAACTGCTGCTTTCCCAGCCAGGCAGGCAGCACACGGCAGAGCATCCTGGCAGGGAACCCTCCTGACCTCGGCCGGGGGAGATGGAGCTCTGAGCACAACCCCTTCCTGCGGCCGAGTAACCCGGAGCCCTGCAGCAAAGCTCCACCAGAGCCTTGGACCTCCTTTGGAGCCTCCCTGCTTTACTCATGTGTGTATCAGGGTTCTCTCGGTACCCCCGCACTGCCAATGCCGCTGCCAAGGCCACCACTAACCCATGGCACTGAGGCCTTGTCTCCATGGTGAGTGAACACTCGCAGGGCCGGTGCCTGCAGCCCTGCCCTGCGCAGCCTGTTCCAATGCCTGAGCACCCTCTGGGGCAGGAATCATTCCTCAGCTCCATCTAAACTTGGGGTCTGAACCTTTGTGCCTGTTCCCAGTCTCTCTGGACTTCCTGGGGCGCCTCACCCCTGGGAGAGCACAGGATTTACAATTCTACATCATCTCTGTGCCTGCCAGTTTTATGCAGATCCTTCTGCAATCAGATTAAAGCAGGACACCTGACATACAAGTCTGTGTCTCTATTGAATTAGCTCTTCTTCTGGCTCTCCAGAGCATGTGCTTATCACTGCTTTAGCAATAACCCTGACGTCAGTGGCCGGAGAAGGAGCTGCTGCTATCTCTGGTGCTGAGGGCAGCCCCATCCAGATGGACACCCATCAGCACAGTGAAAGGCTGCTCCAGCCCTGCTCCAGTGCTTGCCTGCCCAAGGCACACGGTCTTCCCCACAGCCAGACCCACCTTCATCCCCATCCCACACATGCTTGCAGCCCTGGCAATGATTTACACCAGGATCTCTGAATCATTAAACTCCACTGGTGTGGCTGCAAAGCCAGGAGCACCTCCACCTCCTCTGTGCTTTCCTGGGCTTCCCACACCTCTCACTGGCTCCCTGCATGCTGCCAGAGCCAAGGGGCACCTTATGACTTCTCTTGGGACATTCCCAACTATTCCTTCAGCGTGGGAGGGCTTGGGATCAACCACACACCACCACCACACCTGGAGACAGCCTGGAGGCTTTTGGCATGGGCAGCAGCCAGGGTGGCAGCAGATAGCATCTTCCTCTCTGCGGGAGACACCAGCCCTCCACAGTGACGTTCCCACTGTGGGGATGCAGGGCTCAGATGGAGTCAGCCTCGGATCGTGCTCTGCATCCCGGTGCTCCTGGTGAAACTCTAACCCCATGGAGGTGACTCATGAGGAATGCAGCAGCATCGCACCCCTTGCCCTCCGCAACCTTTGGATCTCTCCCTGACACCACCTCCTGCTCCTGCTCCAGCAGCAACAGCTTTGTCATGGGCTCACGAGGAATGAGTCTGCATCCAGGGAGTGGGTGAAACCCCGATGCAGTCACAGGGAATGGGATGATCTTGCCCCAGGGCTTTCAAGGAGTCAAAGCGTGATGCACGGCTCGAAGTGTGCCACCATGGAGCAACACAGGATCATGGAATCACGGAATCAATCAGGTTGGAAAAGACCTTTAAGCTCATCCAGTACAACCATTGCCCAGCACTGTGCCCATGGCACATCTGCACAGTTTGGGAACACTTCCAGTGACTCCAGCACTGCCCTGAGCAGTCTGTTCCATGCTCACACCCAACCTGCCTTCTCATTAACCACCTTCCCTGCTAATTGCTGACCACTCGACCTCATTCCTGCAGTGGCAGAAGCCTTGTCACACAAAGGTTCAACCCACCAGCAACACAACCCCCCCACGGAGGTACAGGCCAACAGGTCACAACTTGGGCTGTATTCTCCCATCTTTAGGCCTTTTTGGCTGCCCGTGTTCCACTGCCCCAGCATCAGGGATGCTCCTGGCCAGATACAGCCCAGAGGATGTAGGGAGCTTCCTCCCTGCTCCAGTGGGGAGGGAAATACCCAGCACCATGCAGCTGAGCTGAAATGCCGGTTAGGCCTTTGGACAAACACCCACAGCCTGTTCTAGAGCATCTCAGCAGGGAACAGAGACCAGAGGGACAGCCCCGTGCAGACTAGCAGGGCTTTCCCATGTTTTGCTGCTTACACTTCCTGCCAAGAGTGCACAGGAATGCGACCCGCATTCCCTGCTCTCGGCATTCCCGACACACACTTAAGGAAAAAAAACTGGTGAAACAGCTCCTAAAGTTTCATTCTTAAGCACTCCTCCTCAGTTGCACTACTGCAGACAGCACCCAGCAAGCAGCAGTGTTTTCTCCGAACACTACACAGGGTGCTTCCCCCTTCTCCCAGCCCACCCAGAGGGGACCCCATGGCCCCCGGTGCTGCAGCTTCCTGAAATAAAGGGCATCATGGGAAAGCCAAGGCTTCCTGGTGCATTCCCGAGCTCAGGATGCTGCAATGCACCCGGACAGAGACGCTGAGGGCTGCAGAATAACAGCGTTCAAGGCCAGGTTGGACGGGGTTTGGAGCAAGCTGCTCCAGTGGAAGGTGTCCCTGCCTGTGGCAGGGGTTGGAACTGGATGAGCTTTAAGGTCTTTTCCAACACAAAGCAGTCTGGGATTTTATGATTAGCTTGAACTTTGCCACTGAAGTATGAGCAACTGCCTTCCAGACTCTCTTTCTCCCCATAATTTCATCACAGCATCAGAGCAGCTCTTGCTGCAAAGCAGTAATGGACTTGGACACAGAGTCCTTTTAGATTTGTATTTAAGGATATTGCCATTTATTCCTGGGGATAATGATGCTGCCACAGCCATCAAAGTCACGCTGGCACAGGTCAGTGAGCCCTCACTGGGTCCATCCCGCTGTGTGCAGTGTCCATGCTATTCCCAAGCCTGGCTCACACAAGCAGCCAACAGCAGCCTAACACCCCGGGGAAGGGGCTGCTAAACCAGAGCTCTGGGGGCTTTTCCTCTCTTGGGGCTCGAGAAGGGAGCTGAATTGCCAGCCTATGGGAAAATCCCAGCACTTGGGCTTCTTCTCCTTCCTGCTTCCCTTTGAATTCCACTTCGCACCTTTGTGTTCGCTTTTTGTTCTCCTTCACTTTTCCTGATCTGCTGCTTCCTGCCAAGATAAAGCTGTTCCAGCAGCCTTCCCCCATGGCTCTTGGTCTGTGACCTCGCTCCGTGCCAGATACCACCCTCTCCTTTGAAGCCTTTCAGCGCCTTCAGACATTACCCATCTGCCCTCCCCCCGAAGCTAAATCTGGCATTCCCATTGCCTCGGAATGCTTCCCAGCCCTCCTGGAGGGCTTTAAGCAGCTCCCATCACACCACAGGAGACCTGGAGCCTTACCTCAGCTTGCTGCAAGCCACTAACCCGGCACATCGTGCTGGTACCACCTTCCTCATCCTCACCCTGGGTTTCAGCAATGTCCTTCATCTCACTGTGCCCCAAAGCAGTATCACCTTGCCCCTCACTTCTCAAACAGCCAACACGCAAGAACAATCCAGAGAGGAGCCAATGGAGCAGCAAGGGAGGGATGGAGCATGCAGGGGGAGGGATGAAGCTGGCCGGGCAACCAGGCACAAAGCCCCAGTGTTCACCCAGGCAGGCACAGGTATTCCCATAGGGATGGAGGTTTGCCAGGGATTAGGTTGCCCCACGCTTCCCGCACATCTCATGCAGGAGTTTTGGCTGCTTTGGTGCAGCCTTAACACAGGTTTCTGCCTAACAAACGCACTGGGAACAAGAAACACATTGAGCAGCGTTCCCGAGATGGACACATACCTTGCTGCTGGAGGGATCACTCCTCCCACGTTCCAGCTGGGAGCAGACAGCCCTGCCCTGGCCTCCCAGGATCTCCATATGAGTGCAGGTACAGGCAGCTCCTTTATGGTGCTGAGCATCACCAACCCTCAGCTGCCTGCAGGGTGCTGATGGGCAAGCACTGCTCCTTCCGCAAGCATTTCCTGAGGTTCTTCCCCACCCGTGTCATTACCCGTAACAAAAATCAAAGGCATCTCATACTTCCGAGTCACTTGGGGTGAGGGCTGGGCTCCTCAGCCACACACCCATGTGTTCCTCCTGGCCATCTAGGAAGCTTGTCTTCCTGGCTGGCACGCCAAGACACCCAGGGCCTTTTGAAAGCTGCAGGATCATAGAATCACAGCCTGCTTTGGGTCAGCAGGGACTCACACCAAAGGAAGTTCTTCCCTACTTTAAGGAGCTTGACATCCCCCCAGCTGCAAAAGCCAGGACCAAGCATCCTGGTGCAGCTTCCCCTCACCCAGGCTCCAGCAGGCCAAGCCGAGGGCATCCTGTGTCACACACAGCACTGTGGGCTCCTGCTCACATGGATGTGCTTCCCAACAAACCCAGCCACACTCTAAATGACCTCCAGGAAACACTGAGCTTTCGTGCTTTGGGGCACGCTGCCCCCAGCAAGAGCTGCTCCCACACACACGGGTCAGTTCAGCAGGGCACAAGCAGCCCTTGGCATGGGGTTCCCTCTGCTGCAACAAGGCACCTCAAGCTAACTTCCATTGCACTGGTGCTGGGCAAGGCGTGATTCCCGAGACACCCCTTTTGTAGGTATCTATGGGGAGCACACATACACGGATTGCTCCTGACACACACAAACACGCAGAGCTGGCTTGCAAGGGAAAAACCACTCAGGCAGAGCAGAAGTCCATAAAACATCCCCCAGCAGTGAACAATTCCAGCATGGGGCTGCTCGGAGCAGGTGGAATGCGGCTGGCACACTTCCTGCTCTCCCGGCCTACCAAAACACCCACCTGAAGGGCTTTCCAACCCGACCTCACCTTCCAAACCCATGGTTCTCCCTGTGCCTCTCATAGGAATAATGAGACAGGAGCTTCCCAAGATAACTGTCACTGTCACGGCCGTATCCCAAACCCACAGTGCTTTCTCTCTAAAGCACCCCTTGGGAGCCACTGGCAGAGCTGCTGGAGCCCTTCCAAGCTGCAGGCACCCTTGCTTTGGCAGGAATGGCACAGTGGGAAGCACTGCAACCCCCTGAGCACTGCTCGGGTCACAGAGCACCCGGCACAGACCTGCCCTGCACAGGTTCCCTTCCTTTGTCTTTGTTTGCTTTCCAAACACACTCGTGCACAGCCCGTCCCTTGCACCTCCCGGCCCTGACGGCTCCGAGCAATGGGGCTGTGCTGCGGGACCCCCATGGGCAGCGCACAGAGGGGCCGGGGGGCTGGGAGCGGGGCTCACTCCCCCCCACCTCCTGACAGCCGTGGGGAAGCGGCGGAGCCTTCCCAAAGGGCGGCCGCTCTTCTCCTCACCCTCACTCGGCCCCTCCAGGGGCACAAGCTCATGTGCCGTGAGGGGTGACCCCGCACCACCACCACCCCAGCCCCCCCGTGCCGCTCACACCCCGCCTTGGGCACCTTTCCCCTCGGGTGGTTTCACCTTTTGGAGCTCGGGTGAGCTCCGCACGGCACCGGGGACCCCTCGCTCCCATGGGCCGCGCTCAGAGGCCCTCATGGCCCCCACACAGGGCAGGCTCCAGCCCCGGTTGATGCCCCCGGTGCACAGAAGAGCCCAACCGGGACCCGGCTCCAACCTGGGGCTGAGTCCAGCCTGGCCCCGTCCCGGCACCGAGCCCGAGCCGGTTCTGCCCCGGGACTGAGCCTAAGCCGGTCCCGTCCTTGCCCGGGGTCTAAGCCTGCCCCAGCCCCGCTCCCTGCCCCCGAGCCCCGCGGGACCCGACCCAGCCCAGCCCGAGCCGGTCCCGGCTCCAACCCCATCCCGGTCCCGGTCCCATCCCCGCCGCGATGGCGCCGAGCGCAGCCCCCGCTCCCTCCCGGGACTGGGGTCCCGCAGCCCCCGGCCCGGCCCGGCCCGGCCCCGCGTACCTCCCGGCGGCGGCGGCGGCTGCGGCGGGTCCCTCCCGGTGCTCCCGGTCCGGCCCTCCTGGGGCGGCGCTTGCAGGGCCCGGCCCCATCGGCGGGGCGGCCCCGGGGCAGCGCTCCCCGTGCGGGCACAGGGGGAAGGGAGCCCCCCTGAGCCCCGCTCCGTTCCCGCTGTGGAGCTGCGGCTCCTTTCGGTGCTTTCTGGAAGCTCCCAGCCAGGGCAGGCGGTGGCACAGGCTGCTGCTGGTGCTGGTTCTGGTTCCCCTTCTCCAAAGGTTCCTTGCAGCAACACCGAGCTCAGGCACATCAGGGATGTGCTTTGGTGTTCCATTCCCCACACTCGTTACGCACCCAGTGGTGAAGGGGACAGATCCCAACCCGCCTGCTTCCTGGGGTCCTGGAACCCCGGAAGAGGATCGTGCAGCATCTACTTCCTGCAGGCCCTGCATGCCATTATGGCATATATAAGAACTGTGTGTTTGCCCACACCTCGTGGGTTACAGGCCGGGGCACCTGCTCCAAGCAGGGTCCTCACAAACCCCCATTTCTAGTTTGAAAAGCAACTTGTGAGGGATGCACACCATGAAACTGGCTCTTACCCATGAGCAGAGCCTTTCCTCAAGTGTGCAGCTCCAAGCTGGTTTGAGGAACCACGACCACTTGGGCTCATCACTGTGCTCCACAAGGCAAAGGCAACAACCCCACAGAGCAGGGCTTCTGCTTGCAAGGAGCCTGGAAAGTGCTTTAATCCGGTTACTGCCCTCTATAAATACTCCCAGTTCACCACCTGCTCACTGGGAAGAGCCATTCCAGGTACAGCCCTGGTCCTGCATGGGGTTGTGGGTGGCTCTGGGAAGCAGGGAACCCCTGCACATTTCCATGCCTAAGATGCAACTGAACAACCACAGAATCCCAGACTGGTTTCGGTGGGTTCAGCACCCTCACAGGGAAGAGCTTCTGCCTTATCTCCAACCTGAACCTCCCCTGTTTCAGTCTGAACCCATCACCCCTTGTCCTGTCACTACAGTCCCTGATGAAGAGTCCCTCCCCAGCATCCCTGCAGCCCCCTTCAGACACTGGAAGCTGCTCTGAGGTCTCCACGCAGCTTCTCTTCTCCAGGCTGAACAGCCCCAGTGTTCCCAGCCTGGCTCCATACAGGAGCTGCTCCAGTCCCTGATCATCCTCATGGCCTCTGGACTTGCTCCCACAGCTCCATGTCCTTCTGATGCTGAGGACACCAGCACTGCACACAGTTCCAAGTGGGATCCTACGAGAGCGGACAGAGGGGCAGGATCAATCATGCAATAGTTACCAAAGCGGGAGCATGTTTCCAATACAGTGGCACAATGGGGCGGCTGGAAGCTGAGCTGTAGCTGCATTCCAGCAACCCCCATCACAATTAACACCATGTCCAGCATCACCTCTTCCCAGCTGCCACCCCAGCACCAATGGGGGGGTGTTTTTCCCGACACTTCTCACACCCAGCTGTATAATACCCACCACCAAGGACTCAAATTCCCTTGGGGATGACACTGGGGTGGGTTTTCCTCCGGCCGGGAGTGAAAAGCAGCACTGCCACACTTGCTGGACCCGCCCCTGCAGTTTTTCCTGTCCCTTAAGCTCCGCAGAGGCAAACCCATCACAAACCCAACGGCACCTCTCACATCCCCTGGCGTGACTCAGCACGACACAACCCCGCCTTGGGGGCACTGCTGCTCAGATCCTGGGTGGGAAATCCCCCTGCTTCTGCTGCATCAGTCCCTACGAGAGCGATGCCCATGGAACCAACGGTATTTTCCACTGGCTCACCTGCCCTGGCTCCTCCTCCTGATGCACAGCAGGGCTGCCCGTCCCTGCTCCCCATACCCTCCTTCCCTAAGCAAAGGCCAATACAAGAGCAGTCCTACAGCAGAACATGACATTACATAGATCTGTGTATGGGGTCTTACCTGCGAGCCTTGTTTTGCATTTCCAGGCTTGGTCACCAGCTCAGGCAAATCCTTTCCTTCCCCTCCCCGCAGCACCTTTCTGTGCCAAATGCAACCCTGTGCTCTCGGGCAGCTCCTGCAGTCAGTGCCTACAGCAGGGAATTGGTTTCTCTACGGAAAGAGGGGGGGAAATGCACTTTAACTGGCACTGATGCTGCACAGGGAGAGCCCAGCCCTAGCTGGAGCAAGCTCACCCACCCTGCCATGGGCCCTGGGGACCCGACACAGTGGGGACCTTCATAAAGTGGCTCCTTATGCTCTGCAAAGCTGAATATTGGCCAGAAATGGCTCTTTGGGACTGCCTGCACATCTTTATAGGGACACACTTGAGCCATTTCATCCCTCCCCTTGGCTCAGTTGTTCCCTTTGGAGCAGGCTTCTTTCCTCTCTCCCCAACCCCAGTTGCTTTGTCCATCCCTAAGTTCAGGGACTCACTGGCACACCTCAGCAGGCAGTCTGGGTGGCTGCAGACGCTCCTGCCTTCCTCTGCAGCATACTTTGCTCTGGGACAACGTATTTCCATGTGTATTCTTGCCTCATTTGCCCTTCCAGCTATAGCAGCCACCCAGGGTGGGTATTTATCTATGGGCAGCTCGAATCCTGCCCTTGCACACAGTCCCAGGGTGGGCCGGTATCTCTCCTGACTGTTTATCCAACCAAATATGCAGGATAAAGACCTTGCTTGCGCAGGAACACCCAGGAGGAAACTGGAGCCCCACCGGGAGCCACCAGCAGGCAACAAAAGGGCCTTTCAGAGGGGCACTGGATGCCCTGGTACTTGCAGAGGTGCCAGGGGCTCACGTTACCCTGTATTACCGGCAGAAACTGCTCACCCTTCACCTGCTCAGAGGTGCTCCCCACGTATGATAAAACCCCTGCAAAGCCCAGCCCAGAGCACAGCCACATCTCAGGAGCCCTCCAAACCTTTCCACCAGCAAGCCAAATCCACCATTCTGGGCACCTGCAGCCAGCGTGTCCTGGAGGAAGAGAAGCCCACCCAGGGGAGCCGGATCAGCAGAGCCCCACATTGCCCATGCACGTGAATGAAGAGTTATTTCATAACAACTAGTTATAAGTTATAATGCATGTGGGGGGGGGATGCTCAGGTTTCTACTCCCCCCATAGCCCTGCTCCTACAGCCCCAAGCCACCCTTCCCTGACAGTGCAGGGGGGGGGAGGTTTGATTCCTGCTCCCTGGACTGGGGACAGGCACTTGCACCCTGAATTCCCAGCCCAGGATCGTTTTCCCAGCATTTCCCATGA